AGCGTTAACATCAGTTTATACAAGATACAAAACAATATAACGGAACGAAAGCCTATGTAACTGGTGCAAATAACTTAAAATAAGAGGTTTATATTGGATTTTAATGTTCCTAAATATTTTGTGACAAATAAAAACGCTTTAAAAAGATTATCTACATAATTAAAAAATAAAATGGTCATAAGAAAATTCTTCTCGGTATCTTCTTTTAAAAGTTCGAGAAATAACATAATATTATGTGGTCTTGTAAACGTTATATTTGTAGGTTTCTCTTATTCAAATACCTGTACTCTACAAATAATTTAACTGCGTTTTAAAATTGTCTTTAATTTGTCCGGAGCAAACACGCCGAGTGAGTCATGAACGTATGACGAATGCCGGTGACCCTTAATCGGTGGGCTATGGGAAACCACGATGAGCAATTTATGACCGTCAATTTATTGAGTTTTGTGCTGATGGTCAACCAAAGATAAGCAATAACATTTTTTTTGTGATAAACGTTTGTAAAAGCAAGAACATTTGTATCATGTGACTCGGTGGCGTAGATGCTGAGATATTGGCTCCGGCACGGGTGTTGTTCCCACACGGGACAAGTATATGCGTGACTCACGGATGATTGTTCCGGAACTGGGTGTTTTGTTTCTTAAGGAGGTTTAATGTCAGGCAGGTCTTACAAATAGCCAAATATGATTACAAAATGATTCACATGTTTGTGCCGACAGGATAAGGGCAGAAGGATGACGATGATGGTAGCGTGATATTTATTTATTTATTTATTTATCGTTTATGCACTAAAAGTACAAAGGCGGACTTAATGCCAAAGGCATTATCTCCCAGTCAACCTTAGGGTGGTACAGAGAAGATTAGGTAGGTTGTAGTGTTGTACAGAAAGATATAAAAAAAAGAAAAACAACAGATACAAGCTACATATACTATTTGTATATGTTATGACAAATAAAGTTCTAAAATTATATTACGTAAGAAGATTATTATCCATACTAAATGTATAAATAAATACACACAATTTATATAATAAATACATATATTTGTTACAATTTCTATCGTCTTTAAATTAAACTGGACACGTATATGATAGTACAGCAATTAATAAAAAGCTACAATACTGAACTTCAAATCTGTTTTAACGATTTAGAAAAGCCGCGATTACTAATGCATGTAATCTAAGTGTGTAAAATAACAGTGTGAATTAGTAACACACGGTAACATATGTACGTGAACGTATGAAACACGTGTGAACTCTATTAAGCCTAGTGTAAACAGAAGACAAATTTCTTCGTTATTGATGGTAGGTAAGTTGCGTGAAGTATCACTCGGGAAAAAAGTGAGATACATATTTCAGATTAGTTTTGTTTGAAAAGAATTTATTATAATTTACCACGTGCATAAGCATTGATAGCTCAGTGTTCGGGCGCTCCTCTTTAGTTTAACATAGAGGAGAAACCTGAGTTCTATCCCCGGTGTCGGCACCAATTGTTAATTTTAAGTGCCGACTTATCACGTGCTCAGTGGTGAAGTAAAACATCGTGAGGAAACCTGCATATTTTTGAAATAATAACAAAAAAAATTAGAAAATATGTAAAGTCCGCCAATCCTCAGTGGCGACTATGCCCTGATACTCTCCATACAGAGGAGGCCTTTGCCCAGCAGTGGGACATTTATAGGCTGTTACTTTATTTTATTTTACTTTTACCAAATTTTCGATTTAATTAGAAAAATTGAGAGGCACTGATTTTTTTTCCAAATTTACAAATTTTCTCAGCCATAGGTACTCATTCAAATTTTACCATATTAATTTTGTTTCTCAATGATTCAGTTTAGGAGTATGAAACATTAATAGTTTGCATGTTACATTTCATCCTATAATTTTTATTTATATGTATTTATATGACTGTTGATTAACTGAACAGTTAACATATTAATTAACTGTTCAGTTAACTGTAACTTATTACCTAGACATAAGAACGCAAAAAAAAGCTTGATTGCGTAGATAACAATGTCGTTGCATCGTTGATCTTCTTGGTTTCGTCACCGTTTAAGTCAACAGATGTCTTCCTGTTGCGATAACGATTTAGGCTAATTATCTAAAAAGTTGACTTTAACTACTTTGTTAATTATCAACTCGGTAACTGTAACCATTTTTGTGTATACTTTGTATTCTCAACTTGTGAAATCGACGAAAAACGTTAAATAAAATGACGTTAAATAAATAAATGTTACTATATACTGTGTGTATACACACCTATTGCTTTGAAAATGCTAACATAAGGGTCAACTTATGATCAATTTAATTTCTAAGTGCTAGGCTGTGCGCTCAGATGAAACTTACGCCCGGTTTCTTAAACACTGATCATCGTAGAAGTCAACTAATCAGCTGTCAAATGGATTTTCAAATGTTATTTGTGTTGCCAAAGGGATTTTTAAACTCCTTTAATTGATCATAATGATCTACTTAATGATCAGAATGATATTTTTTAGAAAAATTGATGAAAAATTTTCGGAGTTACGACATTATAAATGAATAAAACGTCATACGGTTCGTTAATTATAACACTTGTAGTATTAAATATCGAAGTCGCCACCCGACAGATGCAGATACGAGTCTTGATATCGGCGAAAATTAACGTACAAATGCAATAATACAGTTAATACAATATGCGAGAGAATACAGAATACGTATACACCACACAGAGTATAATTCAAGATCGCTTACTACTGCTTAGTAATACAATGTTGTATTTGTTTAACTGTTCACAAATCACGGCTTTTTCAAAAGACGCTCATATTTCTATAAATACCGCCGAACTTTAAAAACTCGAAAAGTATGGAAAAATATACATCTTTACAACATCAATGTATATTTTGTGGGTGTCTCAAAAACTTTGTGAATAGTTTGAGTAAGACTGAGTACTCACACAAAGTATTTTTATATGTATTTGTCAGTATACAAAAACGAGAGAATAGGCTTATACAGGTCTAGTGGATATACCATCAGCGGTTGCATCCCCACTCAAAGTCATGTACACAAGCCAAGCACAAGCGAGTTCACGATAAAAATGCTACACGGGCACTAATTTACCTTATGTACTCAAAAGAGCGATGTACTGAACACTAAAAAGAATCCAAGTAGTTCAGTAAGCCGCCGAGCCTGTGTTGCTACCACAAAAAATAAAGAGAAAAATCTAGGGAAGATTATCACCCACACATTGTCGCAGCGTAGGTGAGCCCTCAGAGCACTCCAAGTATACTCGTCTGTGGCTAATTTACATTCTGCTCCGGCCGAAGTGGCTTGTTGACGCGCTAATTAATAAAGAGGTTAGCATATAACAAGTGAGCCACTGAAAACTAGTGGCTTTTTCCTCCCCATAGGCGCTCTCTCATATTGTTTTTTTTTTTTAAATTATGTCAACGACGTCGAGCCAGCCAGATGTGTTTTTGTTATATCATAATAATTGAATCTGCCAAGTTTCGGATACGCGGATAACAAAGGGAATAAAACAATGTAAAAATCTCGGCGCGAAACAAAAAGAACAATTAATGAAAGATTGATATAACGTTTAATTGGTCAGAGGAATTGTTTCAACTTCGTGTTTTTTTTAAGATACGAATTTTAATGATCATTATGCATGTTACCCACGTATATTGACACGTATAATTCAAAAGTAAGGAATAAGCATTCAAAACTTTAAAGCATAATTAATTGTTAATAGGTATACGTAAAATTAATAAATGTACCTGAACTCAACACTAAGTACGAAGTTAAAACGGCTAAAAGAAGGTTTCCAAAAGGCCTAAATATAAAATTTATAACTGACCTGACATCCTAACTCCATATGGATTAAACAAACCACCGATTTCTTAACCACACTTTGATCCTCAGTCATAGTCTTATCCCGCGACTACATTCTTAGGTCGCAGCCTTTGACATCACTTCGGACCTGCTAAATATTTCCTGTCGAATTTAAAAGTGAGATTTCTTTTGAAACAGGTTCGGAAACTCCTGCTCAGATCGTACCGAGTTCCTTGTCCAAGTGAAATTGAATCATCGCCGGTAACCAGTTCCCATTATGTCAGCAGAAAGCCGGCCCTTAACACTCACACGTCAATATTGACACGGGAGATTTTTTTAGTAATCGCCATACCTTAAACAGCCCGTTGGCGTGTGAATGGTTTTAACGCTTTATTATATAGCTTAACGGATTCTGGGAAATTTTGTTATTTAGAGACTTTCAAAAGCTTTACGTAGCACAAATAAAATAAAAAGTATTTTTATTATAGTTGCCAAGCGAGCAGACGGTTCAACTGACGTTAAGTGAATACCGCCGCCCATGGACATCTGCTATACCCGAGGGTTCCAGATGCGTTGACAACCTTTTGAAAATTGGGCTCCAGCCTCCTCACAACCAGACGAAACGTGAAAGTATTACACTTCCACTTTACGTCGGTCTTCTGTGAGGTCGTGGTACCCACCCGGACGAGCCTGCCCATTCGTGCAACAGCCGAGGTGCGTGGCCCTACCACCGTGTAATGTATCGCCGTGTAAATGTATAATATGTATGGATGTCCTTACATAAGTACGCACGTTACGCAAAAGAAAAATATGATAAAAATTGTATCCCCCTGCTCCAGTACTCCTTTTTTGTGAAAAAGACATTAAATAAAATTGATAAAAGCTTAATGAAATAACTTAGAATTGCAAGTGAATGTTGATATTGGTTGCCATGGTAATACTGTGAGGTTAGTCGCTTTGCAACCAATTTCATTATGTCGCTTTTTGTGTGCGTGCATTTCATCACTCTTATAATTTTTTTCCAAACGCACCAAAAGAAGTTTAACTTCAATAAAAGAAACGCGCGAACGAATACCTTAAAGCAATTTTTACTATTTCAATTGGTTATTAACAATTAGGAGGCAAGTTTAACAGGGAACTAAATCTCAAACTCATCTTAGCATTGCAATTTTTCTAATTTCTGTAATAAGTCTGTATGGGGTAATTCGCCTTAGGTCGTCGTCTTCACTGGAAAATATAAATGGAAATAATCGTCCCTCGATAGCATATGTAATTTAAATTTTGTGCTGTGTGGTTAAACGCTGTATTACCTGTAATATCTTTATTATGATATCATTGTAATGGCAATTGGCTTTTGTGGTACGAATTAGTTTTATGTTGCGAGCAAGGATCAGACTTTCAAATAACGTCTAAATATTGTATTAGTGTAAGGCTTGTTCTGCATGTAGTATGACTCTGAAGAATGTATTTGAATCTGTAAGCTGTTTTTATTGTTTTATGGTAATACTGAACTAAAATGTTAAGTTCTAAATGTGAAAGGGGATAGCTTTTCACTGTATGCGGAACATCATTGAGCCCAGTTGATTACGCTTAAGAACCTTTTTCATTCTTGTCACTCTATCCAACGAGAGATCTCTGATGCTATCGGCATTGATTTTTTTGTGTTAATCTGTTTTAACTTGATTTTTCAGTCAAGTTTGTTTTTTTTACTAATGGTAACGGGTCCATACGAATTATTATATTATCTTAAATGCTTTTGCAAATACCTTTTAAATGTCAGCAAATTGTCGGAAAAATGGTGACCATTCATCAGTGTTGCTGCAATGAGTGTTTCGTAACACGCAATAGATTTGTTTTTATTGTTCGCTCTATGTTCATTTATGATCTTTCATTTGTAACTTTTTATCAAATTATGACCGGCAATTAGTAGTCATTAGGCAAAGTTTTCTTTACTAACGCCTTATAGGTTTGGAAAATTACATTAATTTTATTTTTATAATTTCAATAAAATACGTCATTTCGTTTCTGCATCCAAACATTAAGCAAATAATAGAACATACGTAGCTCACAAATGTTGTATTATTGACTTGGCACTTGCATTGCTATTACAAGTTTATTTATAATATAAAAAAATAACGATACAGTGTATAATAACTGATTTCTCATTGCTTATCCTTTTAAAAGCCAAAATTAATATTTGTTTCTTTCGAAAATATTGGTACACTTGAGTTTCCATAAACACAAATTTAAAAGATAAAATCAACCGGCTTGGGAACCTTTGCTACTTGGAAGCGATTCATCTTTGCTCAGCTGTGTGATTTTAAGGTGTTGTCTTATTTTTTGTTCTTTTTAGTCAAACCAAAATGCGATTGTAGACTTGTTGGCGCGTTTAAGCGTTGAAAGAGCGCGAAAAGCTTTTGGTCTGCTTTGACGTAGGCCAAAACATTTTATTGGATCTATTTTTTAGCAAATGTAAATTTGTTGCTTATTATTTTATTTTATTTGTACGCATACATCAACTTATCCGGATTACACGTTAGGTTTACTGGCAGAAAATGCGCTAGGCATTGAGGATTCTATAGATGCACGAATGTCACACTGCAACCTAGTTTCGCGGTTTAGAATACGGCCAGCGCGCGTCAACTTTTCGATTCCTACAGGTAATAATGCCAAAACATATAATCCATTTTTAGATTTTTAACAGCATCAAAAATTTAACAAAAGTACCGGCGGTTGGTCGATAGGTTTGCTTTCGCTGCTAGTGCGCTGAAAGTGACCCACGTGGCGTCTTCAATCACTAACAAAGCTCTTCTCGGGCGTGCACCGTACATACCGCCGCAGCCCCCATCTGACGGCGCGTATGACATAAACAAGAGCCCCCTCCCCCCATTTAGGCAAGCTGAATGCGTTCCCCCGCTGCCTTCCCACACGTGCGGCACTCAAGGTCCCAAGCGCTGTGCTCCCGCGCTCGCAATTAAAACGCGCCAGAGGCGAACGAACGAGGAACGCGGCCGCGGTTCTACAGGAGCGAAGGGGACGCCGCGCTTCATTTGCCCGAGCACTTTTTACATCCACTTGCTCTCGCCGCTCGTCGGCCAATCAACGTACCGCTCCACCCGTTCTGCATTGGCCGGCCCGAATAAGAGCTCTTTGAGGGAAAACAATAGAGGGTAGGTAATAGAGCGTTTTGTCTCCGACGAGTGGCGTTTTTCATTCGAGTGCCGGAGGCCGCGGGGCGCGGACGTCTTCAGATTCAATTGCTTTAGCGGTTCGTATTGTTACCCGCGAGGGCGCCCGCTAAGTTGGCCCTCTCGCGTTTCATTTGTCGGACGGCGATGTTTAACATTGTTATTTATTGCGAGCCCGCTCCCCGGCCCTCGAGTGAAGGGTGTATTGCAGAGCAAGCAAATTAGCAATGTTTATTTCACTCCAACAGTGGTCCTTTCTGCACAATGTTTGCCAGGAACCGAACAGCTGCCTGCTATTTGTCTTCGTAGCTTAAGTATGGGCGTGTAGCGAACATCATGTCTATTACGATGCAAATTAAACTAAGATCAATTAACTTTTGCTAATTAGTGTGCGCTGTAGCAAATGTTTATTTGAGTAAGCTTTCGCAACGTAGTCTAATTAAAGATCCTCAGTTTGTGATCGTACAATTGAAAATGTTCTTGTCAATATTGTTACGTTGTTACTAAAGAAGATGTCTATGTTCGGTATCATTTTAATTTAGTTTTGTCTTAATAATGCAATTTTTTGACAATAAATAGCAAGTTTTATTGGTAATTTCGTCCTTATTGCGATTGCTATTACCAGCAAATGCTTTTTAAAGATTTGAATGATATGTAAGCTCTTGTTAACGAATTATTAAAAAGGGTATAGCTAATATATGTAATATACGCACGTACAAACATACGTGTATGTTTCAGAAACAAGCTTTAACAAACTAATGGATAGATGTAATGATTTTTATATTTATGCGAATACATGGTTATATGAATATTTTTCATGACAGACTGTGAACTCTATAAAGTCAATAAAAATAAAAAATAAAAACTATAAAACCGTAAATAGTTTCATTCGACCATGCTGATATCCATGACATAGGCAACATTTTTGCTTTAAAGGGATGAATATAAACTTGCAACAATTTATTTTTCAGGAACTTGGCGGCGCCGAGGGCACCGTCCCAAGCGGGTAACACCTCTCTCGAGACCTTCACGACCCTTCAGAAAGAGAGCTGTCACAGGCTAGAGTACCTCGTCGAGCGGCAGAAGCAACTGTGTTTGCTCTCCGATAGAGTATTACAGGTACGCTACGAAAAATGCACGATAAAGGCAGCTTTAATTGAAGTAGCGTCGTAAAAGGCTAAGGGTAATGACGTTTGGAGGTGTTTCTATATTCGCAGATTATCTGGCTACTGGAAATTTCACAGGAATCACAATTAAATTTGTCAACAAACTCAATGATTACTTTTTTCTTACTATGTTAAGCAAAGCATTGGATTAATTGGCAGACTTATGATTTTTATCCTATTGCGAATTGGGTGTGTTCAAAGTAAGGCTGAACATTTTTTATCAAGGTATCTAAAATAATAAATACATAATAAATATACTGGCCCGCAGGGGTACCGTGTCACACAGAAAAATCACGATATCCCCCAAGGTTGTTTAAATAAATTTGCTTGTATAAATAGTATGTATAAAAAGATAAGCAATGCTTATTTTAAATCTGAAAAGTGAATTGAGTTGTTGAATTTGTCATTAAATAAAATAAAATTGTGAGTATCGAAACGTAACACGATGAAAAATTAGATCAAGAAATTTTTTTTAATGAAAGGTTTTAAATCGAGCTGTCATCATTTATTTTTTTACCCAGTTTCCTGGATATTAATTAAAAAATTTTTGAATAGTTTTGAATACGACATAAAAAACTGTTCACATTTTTCTCAAAATGTCGAATAAAACTAAAAATAACTGAAACCACGATTTTACCCATTGCAGCGCACTCGACGCGGTGAATGTTACTCTTGAGTTGAGTCTTGCTCCAGAAAATAAGGTGACTTATTAAGGTCTAAACTGAGTCTGTGTTCCTTTGTGATTTCATATAAGTAATGGCTAAATCTCAAAGATACCGAAGTTCCTAAAAATAGAATAATAACCCATCATAAGTTACCTAAATTATTCATCATTTTCTTTTCTGCTCATGCCTCCTAATAGAAATTACTGTCAATTATGGAAAATAAAAGCCTATATTTTATATAGATTATATTTTTATAACCTTTTAAAACAATCTTAAAAGCTTTTGCTTTAATACGAATAGAATTCAAATACCACGCAGAGAGTTTTGGATAAAAAGTAAAAAAAAATAAAAGTAGCCGCTTATACATATCCCACTGCTGGGAAAATGCCTCCTCCGACAGTGGGTATTAGGGCACAGTCTACTACGCGGCGCCGGTGCGGATTGGCGGACTTCAAATATCTTCGAAATATTTTTTTGTTAGTATTTAAAAATATGCAGGTTTCACGTCACGGTGTTTTCCTTCACCGCTGAACACGTGATAAGGCAGCACTTAAAATCTAGGCCCAAAAGAACCACTACTGAAGACAAAATTAGTTCATTCTGTGTAGATCGAACACAAAATGAATCATTTAAAAACTGACGGTAGCCTAGGTTAACTATGATATTCAAACGTCCAACGCCTCAGTCTGTCCCGTTATCATGAACGCTGTAAAGGGTTCGAAACGTCGGGGTTTTGAATCTATAAATAAACGCGATAAATCCGTAAACATAGTTTCATTTAGTAATATTGGTATTTTTTGTAATTTATTCAAATTGTTAACTAATCATCATAACCATTTTCAGTAACGTTTAACATTTATAGATTTTATTAATTTATTCCAAATCGGTATAATTTTCTAAAGTATTGCTATGGATAAATTGAGGGAGTAAAGATAGAGGTGTAATTCAGAAAAATTTAATTTGTAATTCAGATTGTGTAATTAAGAACTCTTCGATACATATTTTGAATATAAATTGCCCCATTGCTTCAGAATAGGCAAGTAAAAGGATACTGAAACACGAATACAATATCTATACATTAACATGTATGTGATAGTAAAATATGAATTATATTTCTTGTTGAAAACATTATATCTCTTCTCTAAAAATCAGTATTAAGGTTAAGTCCCGAAATTCTCGAAAAATAATGGTCGCCTAGAAGCCGTGTCAAGTGGCGGGTCAAGAAGCAATTTGAGGTCACCGGTTCAAATCTGAATGCCTTGTTTCAGTGAGTTTCTCTTTTTTGGTACTGTTTTCGGCACTCTTCGTTTTATTGCGTAAATAATTAACAGTCGTGGGTGCTTATTGTGACCGTATAACTGCTACTACATCTGTTTCAATATTCCTATCTTCTAGTCGCCATAGTACAGCAATTTTATGTACTGATTATTTAAAGGCCGTAGTTGATTATCGCGAACTTATTCGACTTATAGCAAATGTAAGATATAGTAAATAAAGTTATAGTAAATGCAGCTATGATTTGTATGTAGGTATTTAACTAATTATATAAACAAAAAAAAAAAATTATCTATGTGAATAATAAAATAGCTATTGAATGTTGAGTACGTAGACGAGTACGTGTGGTTATCTGTTGTTTTAAATTATCTTCCCGTTTCCAGGTGCTGCAGACGGGTGCGACCCAAGCCGTTGAGGAGTGTCAACATCAATTCCGACACAGTCGATGGAATTGCAGCACTGTCACTAATTCCACGGACATCTTTGGCGGGGTGTTAAAATTCAGTAAGTTATTCATTTGTTTGATAAATAAAAGACAATGGTTTACTAAACCTTACCTACATTTAATGCACACTTCACAGATGGAAGGCGGAAACTTTTAGTTTGGAATGATAATAAAATAAATAAATAAATTTCAAATTTACGGTGGTAGGGCCACGCAGCAGCCTCGGCTGTTGCACGAATGGGCAGGCCCGTCCGGGTAAGTACCACGACCTCACAGAAGACCGGCGTAAAGTGGAAGTATGACAAATACTTTCGCGTTTCGTCAGGTGAGTGAGGTAGCCGGAGCCCAATTTTCAAAAGGTTGTCAACGCATCTGTAACCCTCGAGTGTAGCAGATGTCCATGGGCGGCGGTATTCACTTAACATCAGGTGAACCGTCTGCTCGTTTGACAACTTTTCGCATAAAAAAAAAAAAAAAAAAATAGATTATTCCAGTTTAGACTAAGTTATTTTGCAATCGAATAAATTAAAATCTTTTTAATCGTATGTAAATACTACTTTAGATAGAATGGTCGTCGTTTCGATTGTATCCTATGTTGGTGTTAAGCATGTCAAAAAATTTGGAAACAAATAAGATAGGGTCAAAGATGAGAACGTTCAAAACGTTCACTTGGTTAGTCATTAATATAGAATACTTTTATTTTATATCGGCTTTTAAAACAAACGATAGTTTATATATCTCAAGAGTACTTATCGTCCTTTACCAGATAATAAAAAGAGAAAGGGTAACTTTTGATAAATTAACTAATCTTTCCTCTCCCACCGCGTGTTCTGATGTCCAATCTGTTCACGCGATAATTACAGCTGATGTGTCGCTCGTCGTAGCTGTTTATTTTACAACCTGTGAGGTGAATACGACAAGCTAGGAACTCAGAATTAGGAATGGTAAAGAGCTGCTTTTCATTTGAACTCAAGTTTTAAAGTCTCTTTCTTCTATCTAGTTCTAGTAATTTCAATTTCAATAATTATTAAATTTATTATTATAACGCTCTAGTCATTACAACTCTTCTGTGTGTCATTCTGATCATATATTCTGCTTTAATTCCGTAGCCACATTAAAGTGTATGCGCTGAGAAAATTTAAATTTGCAACGTTACAGGTGTCACAAAGGTAAAGATAGTTACAGATAGTTACATCTTTTTGTTACACTAAAATAATATCTAAAAGCTGAAATGAACTCCGCCAATACTGGAATAAACCACGATGATTTGGTAAACATAACAAATTCCAACGGAAACGCAATCGCCAATAACTTCGATATAAGCCATACACTTCGTATGATGTTTCGATAAACTGTTTATTGCAGGATGCAACGTCTATTATACCTATGCTTTATTTCATTTCGTATGCCAGTCTATCCCGAGACGTTTTTCAAGGAATTTCTTCTGTTCGTGTGTTTTGTTTATTTTCGAATGTCGATTACTGAGATCACGTGTGTACTTGTTGACGGAGCCGCTCAGTTTGTTTAACGTATGCCGCTAATAAAATAACCATTGTAACTTGACCCCTCATACTGAATAACACGTTGGGATCATAGTGCGTAGGGTCTGAGGTCCATGGTCTTTGGTTTGTTGTAACGAGTCGGTCGCTGAACTTATGCACTGTTGTTTTAAAGGGTTTTATGAATTTTATTTATTAATTACTTGAAATTTTTTGCGTTTAGATTAGTAGATTTAGTTAAGACTGCCCTTAGATTTTATTTACGGTTTTAATCGGTATTCCGCCGATCCGAAAAAAGCGGCTTATGGGTAAAGTGTTTTATATAAGTAAGCAACATGTGGTTGTGTGTCGGAGGTAAACAAGTAGATGTTTAGACTTTTTCATTCATATCTATATTTTAATACATAATGGAAAGTCGTAACAGTAGGAAGAAACTAAATGCGTACTTCGAACTACGAACGGACTTATATAGAATTTATTTTTTTCACTTCGTCTATAATTTCAGTGCACGTAAAATTCACTTTTAGCTCTGTGTTTCAACTGAGAGTGACAAGCTCGGCGAAGACTCTGACCAGCACAAATAGCACCTTGAACTAAACAAATCTAAAGAACTTTAACTTATTAAGACGATATGACTTTTACATATCTTTATATGTTCACCTAGTCACCTATTTGCTTTTATTTTATGAAATATTTGGCTTGGCTTTCTGACTCAGATTTATATGTCTCTCATTGAAGCATTTTTAACAAAGAACGGTCAAAGGCAGCTATGACTAGAAAAGTGATGAATATGAATGTGGTTAGAGGGTGTAAAGATATAGGAAGATCGAGAAAGATTTGGATCTACTGTGAAATTTGCACTCGTAGGGTTTTAGATGCATTGCCACCTTTTAATAAAGTGGGCCCCGGCTACCTCACTCACCAGACGAAACGCAGAAGTGTAAAAATTCCACTTCACGCCGATTTTATGTGCAGTAGTGGTACTTCCCCTACATAAAACATTTCGTTAAAACATCTTTAATATCTTAAGGAGTAACGAAAGCGCCATCAACTTTAAATAATTATGACGGCTATGCGCGAAACATTGCTAACAATTTGCGATTATCACAATTTGGTACCATTCACAGAATCCCGCGAGTCGGCTTTCGTGCACGCGATGTCGTCAGCGGCATTGACGCATACCGTGGCGCGCGCCTGCAGCAGGGGCGAGCTGAACGAGTGCTCGTGCGATGCGAGGGTCAGGAAACGGACCCCGAGGCACTGGCAGTGGGGCGGTTGCTCAGAGGTAAGCGTGCACGGCCTTAGTAAGTTGACGACTCCGTGGCGCAGTTGTTAAAGTGTTAGCTGCGGCGTCGGGGGTCGTGAGTTCGATTCCCACACGAAACAACTGTTTATATCAACTATTTATATATTTTATGACCTGATTGGCCTATTGGGTAGTGAATCTGCCTCTTGCGCCGAAGGATCTGGGTTCGATCTCCACTACTAATGGAAATATTGTCTGATGAATATAACGTGTTTCCAGAGTCTGGGTGTTTATATTTGTATAATATGACTTTGTGTAGAGTATGTGCCGAAATATTTATTAAAAACATTAAGCAGGGAAGTAGCAAACGGCTCATACAAGATCAGGCTCATACATTTGGATTTTGTCCGGTGAGTAACGTGGCTGGATAACCACCATGGCGTGCACAGACCGGAAGATGGATTCAATTAGTACACTAGACATTTATTTATAGGACTTAAATAAAATTTTGTAAAATTTTAAAATTTAAATTTTTTAATACATTAAATCTTCATAGATAGATTGACGAACGTGGACTTTGTTGCATGATTCATTCAAATGATTTTGAATACGTTTCATTTTCAGGATATAAGATATGGAGAGATGTTCAGCCGTGATTTCGTGGATGCCAAAGAAGATAAGAATACTGACGAGGGTTTGATGAATCTCCATAACAATGAAGCGGGACGTAGGGTAAATTATATACGATTTGAAATCAAACTTACTGTCACTTGGTAAACTAAAGATTCCTTAAGGAATTTTAAGTTTGAATGAATGATTTCGTCTTCTACGATCTTCCCAGAATTCGAAAGGATTTCAAGTAATGGCGCTCGGAGAAGAGTCCGCCAATCCGCAGTGGGGTCGCGTGGTGGACTATGCCCTAATACCCTCTGTACAGAGGAGGCCTTTACCCAGCAGCGGGACATATACAGTCTTTACTTATGCCTTCAACCGTTCCTTTTACCGGCATTAAGGTTCCGTTTGACCGTCCGCTGTGTCTTCCTCTTATCGTTGTCCCGGCTCCAGGCGGTGCGGGGCCGGATGCAGCGCGTGTGCAAGTGCCACGGGATGTCTGGCTCGTGCTCGGTGCGCGTGTGCTGGCGTCGGCTGCCGCAGCTGCGGCTGGTGGGTGACGCGCTCACCACGAGATACGAGGGCGCGTCGCATGTCAAGGTAACTCAGCGCTGCGTGGGACGCCAATGATTCATCATCACTACACATTACATGGTCTTCTGTGAGGTTGTGGTACTCACCCGGACGGGCCTGCTCATTGTAGATGTATTACACTTTCACGTTTTATCTGATGAGTGACGTTTTATCTGTGTTCCGAGTGATGTAAGCGGGGCTCAGTCTATAGAGGTCACTTTAGCAGAGCATCTGCAAACCATCATATTTTGTACATTTCTGTGGCCGGTGGTAATCACTGTATATCTCGTTTGGAAAATTTTCTCATACAAAAACTTGGTGTCTATATCCAGGTAGTGGAACGGAAACGAGGAAAGAACATAAGGAAGCTGAGACCTCTCCATGCTGACATGAAGAAACCAAACAAAACAGACTTAGTCTACTTGGAAGAATCGCCGGACTATTGCGAACCAAATGACGAGTATGTATTGCTGTTTCGTTTGAATTGATATATAAGACAATTTGGCATAACTTCTTTGTCTTTCCCACATTAATGGGGATCGAGACCTTATATAATTTGTCTCGATTTGCTTCTGTCCTGCGCTAGTTCAATAGATCGTTGTAGAGTTTCCTATAGCCTCTACAATACTTCTACTCCATCATGTTGGAATTCGGCTCTTGGAGCGCTTCCCCTGGGATAAACATAACTAATGACATAAACAAAATAATTAATTAAACATTTTGCATTCATCAAACTAAGGATACACTTGATTATCTTTAGCACTCTACATTTAAAAGCACTTTGGTTCAAGAAGCTACAGCTAAGAATAATTCATACTACTTTAGAAATATATAGTTAATTATAATAGGGCTGCAGTTTCTTTATACGTACACTTATTAAATACTATCTCTCTCAGAGGCAAAATTGTTGCGGCTGCTCCCAATATTGTATTTGACGAGTGGAGGTTGTAGTAGATGCTTTCTTTTCTCAAAATTACGTTTCAAAGTTGTAAGTTCCTTCTCCACTCATTCTGATTACAATGTTCCTAATTTTGGATTTTGGAACAAGGTATTTTGCACACACTACTCGAACTTTACATATGTGGGAAATCTTCGCCGTTGCACAACCTACTTCACCATGTCGCTTTTTCGTGGCTGGTGTGCGCGCGCGTCGAAAACAATTTTACTCTCATATTTGTTCCAAACGCGCCAAATGGAGTGTAAGTTCGAAAAAAGTGTCTATCCATGTATGTTATAAGACTGACATGTGAGCGCATTCTATATTTTCAGATTGGGAATTTTGGGCACACGTGGTCGCACGTGCAACAGGACGTCCGCTGGTCTGGACGGCTGCCGGCTTCTCTGCTGCGGCCGCGGCTATCAGACCCGCGTCCGCGACCACGAGGAGAAGTGCCGCTGCCGTTTCGTTTGGTGCTGCCGCGTCCATTGCGAGGTCTGCAGGTACAAGCGCGACCATCACGTGTGCAATTAGTGCCGGGCGGTCGATGTAAAGCGAAGTTGTAAGCACCGTCGCTATGTGCCAGTTACGCGGCATTATGAATCTCGTTCAAGTTCAAGACTAATGCAATCTCTAGTGGGCCGTCAAAATGATATGCTTCAGTATAATATAAATATGGATTTCTACTTTGTATAAGCGTAGCAATTTCGAATTTTTAAAATATAACGTTAAAGTATTGCTACATTTCGTTCGGTGATCAAATATTTGAGGCTACTTGTCGGTTTATAGTATTCGCGTACCTTCAATAAACCTGTTCAATATTTGTGGCTTTAATTAATTATTGTTACATTTTGTTCTTGTTATACATATATGTGATATAGTCAGGACTACAAACTTACGGTGTTAATTAATAACGGAATAAGGAACTAATAGTAACGAACTACTTCGTACCTTTTTTATTTTCAAAAATATACTAAACCTTTAGAGGTATTATGAAAAGAACTGAGATTTCTCTTTTGATAACAATATGTAATCCTTTAATAAGTCTATCTTTCGAAAAAATGTGAGTTGATTTTAAACATATTTTTAACATCCTTCTTTATAAGCACTCGAGCAGCAAACGGACTGATTATTTTACATTATAAGAATCGATTACTTTTGTACTTTCTGATAAGCTTTAAAATTATTTACAGTATTATATTAACTTATTTTATGTTTTATCATGTACAAATCTGTAAATATTAAGTAATTTTGTTAATATAGATTTTAAGTGATACCATACAAAACACCCCAACATTTCGAATTGTTGAAATAGGTTTTCGGGGCTACCGCTACGTATAATTGATACAGTTGTAAATAGAGCTAATTAATGTAGAGCTGAAGCTTTCTTTGTACTTAATAGAACTTATTTAATACTCTACCTCAGAAGCGAAATTGTTGCGGCTGCTCCCAGTATCGTTAGGCGAATGGAGGGCTTAGATGCTTCCCTATCTAAAAATTAGGATTTCATTCTCGGTACAATATGTAAATATAACGAATGCTTATGATAGTAAATTATTGTATTAGATTGTGATAGATTTTTAACCTATAGCAATACCGTTCCCAACGGTATACTAGATGTGCACGATACAATTTTCTCCAAATCCTTAGCGATAAGATCTATGTCTCCCTTTGTAAATACTATTACATGTAGTATTATGAATATGACATTTTGTAATAATTAGACCTGTCTCTTGCCGTGGTTCGTAAATTTTTCATGCCTTCGAATCATATTTTGTAATAGTCTGTAAGAAACTGTATCACTTTGACTCCAACGTTTCATTGTTTTATATATTTGTCATATTACTACGATCTAAAGCTCTAAAGCCATTCTTTATATTACAAATATTTTCTTAAAACAATTAAAGATTAATTGTTGTTTTTTTATCAATTGTATACTTGATATTGAACGTTTGAGTCAAAGAAAAGACTTAAGGTTATCGTCTTTGAATATGAAATAGTTACTACTCGATGTACATTGAATAAAATAAATGTGTTAGAACTCAGCCAAATTTTAATTCTAAACTTTATTTTCTTTTATACATAAATACACATTTATGTATAAAACAAAGGTAATTTATCCCATATTATATTCTTCTTCAGCTGCGTCGAATAATGTTAGTAAATATTATTAATACGGATGATTATCGATTACGATACAATAAATCAAATCGAAATGTTCATCAAATTTGAGAAATTCCGTTATTACTTATATATCTTGTAATAGTTATATCTAATTAAACTGCTTTAATAGAAAATAATTGCAAAAAACGATACACGCATGCAAGTCAATCTATGAATAAATAAATTAAGCAAATGTAATATTTGACGACCTGAATGGCGTAGTGGATAGTTTACCTGCCTCCTGCGCCAGAGGGTGTGGGTTCGATCCCCACTACTGGAAAAATATTTTTTTTTTTTTATTTTTTTCTTTTTTTTTTTAAACGGAGGGTTTAATCAAACATGATTATGCCACCCTCATAGGCATTCACAAAATATATAAACAAATCGAAGTCTCATAGCAGTTACAATATCAGACCTACTCATGCCAGATCCACCAAACCATGGTGAACTGGTAGACTGGGCTGTATTGTCT